CGGAAATAGACGGACTCGATTCTTGCACCAGCAGAACGTGTGCGTACCGTCGGCTTATTGCACGAGAACTCGTGATGGGAGAAAGGCGATTCCCTATTATTATTGTTGCATTCGCGTTCTCTCTTAACGTAAAGGCGAACACGGCGAACAACGCGCAATATTCGATAAAACGAAGAAAAAGAAACGAGAAATGAAACGAAAAAAAATCTTTTCAGGTTTTTCATAACACACACATTAATACAGTTCGTTTTGCACGCTCGTGCAATTGTTTATGCAAACCGCCTGCCGCCAACTCTATCCCTGCCAGTGGTCGAAACGGTTTTGCACTGCTGTGCGCCGGAACGTTTTGTTTCGTTTTCATTTTTTCGCCGACCCTTTGGCCGCCGTTCCGTGACTTCCACGTCCATTATACGTGTATTCACGCGGAATTCGGTATATATTTACAACACGTGTAAAATATTTTGTGTACGATATAATGCAAAAAAAAAATAATGTTGCCACGCTGCACGTGTGTGCGTGCATAACGTATGATGCGCTTTATAAACTGAACATTTAAACGACGGAAACGCGCGACGACGACGTTTTAACGGGTAAAAATATTAATCTCGGGGGACGGACCGTCGAATTTTCATGTGCGACAATTTTATACATTTTTATAACATAGTCGTCAATAATGCGTAGACTTATTCGTATTATTATGTCAGTGTGCGAAATCGCATCGTCATTCATCTTTTCTATAAATATACACATCAAATTTATGCATATATATATTTATGTATAAATCGTATTCAAACCATCACGTTAAAAATACCTAAAAATATAATGTGACCGAATGTACTTGGATTCAGGTTGCATAGTATAAGAAAGTTTTAATTTAATTAATAAAATAAAAAATTGTACGTATCGGACTTCATTATATAATACTGTGTACGCGAATATAGTGATATTATATTTTATTCATACGATGACGGTCCACAAGTAACTCCGATATAGTAGTACATTCAATCCTGGAGCGAATGAACACATGTATTAATAATATTATAATATTATAATTAACGTTATGGTAGTATTGTTAGAACGCATGTCTAACACATTGACTTCTCGCGCTTCTTTATTGATTTAATATTTTTTTATCTTAAAAGTTTTAAACCCATATTCCCGTCATAATATATGAACCGACAAGAATGCGAATGTAAACCCATCGTGTTAATATGCCATACGAATAATATAAATTTATATCGTCGACAACGGTTTGATTTGAAAAATAATCGAATTCTCCCGGTCTGTCGTCAAAACATATACTAGTGGTAGTAACGAAATTAAGGAAACACATACACTCACCTGTTGAGGTCAACCCACATTATAATATCAGTTATGTATATAAATCGTATAAGTCGAAATATTCCCCACTAATTACGTTTATTATTGTTTCGCAAGTCCACTCGCTCGGATATAAAAAAAACAAGTATAAATTATAAGCACCTACAGCACCGCGTATGCGGCCTACATGCGTTGTGCACGTGTACGTATTTTTATATAAAGATAAAATATACATATTATATTATTATTATATTGTAATCCATCACAATCCATGCGCCATATCGTTATATGCACTTGTACATACATTCCCACATTTTTTTATAATTCACAATTACATTACAATTTATTTGTAACTTTCTGAGTAAACAAAAATGTTACCTTATTACATGTAAAGTACTGACCATCTGCAGTCAACCAATATGCAAATAAAATTTAAATTAATATTAATAATATAAATAATTAATTAATAATTATTATGTTAATAATATTTATAAGTATATAAGATGGAAATCCTGCACAACGACGATCGATTGGCGTAGAAACGTTTCTCTGGCCGTCAATGTGGAAATCGATTTTCTAATCCGCAGCGTAAGTTCCACCTTGTATGTGTATGTGTATGTGTACTAATATCATCGTCTATGATTACTGTATAGTTACCTATATAGTTTTACCTTGGGTTCAATGAAATAGAATTAAAAGTTATAAATATATTAAAAATATCAGAACTAAAATGAATACAATTGTCAATGATATTATATTATCCATAAAATTAATTTACATGAGACAGTATCATTTTAAATATTTAAAACTAAAATATTTTGTCTTTGCTTAATATCAACATATAAGCAAACACGATCAAGTACTATGAAAAAATTAGTGCGTTCATTTGGCCATTTGGCCATTTGGCCAAATTTCTTTATTATATTTTTATGAATCACCAACCTACATTCTGTATGAATGAGACCTTTAGAACATTTTTAGGTACATTTTTATTTTAAGTTTAAAACCTATGCTTAAACAAATTTATTATTCATACTAATATTTTTTCAAATTTATTAAGTTTAATTTCATTTAAATGATTTTACTTTCTATAATAAATGTACCATTATTTACCGGAATGTCCACCATAAATCGAAACACATAACATTCAACCAGAAGAAATTTGCCAAAAAAAAGAACTGAACAGTTAACCCTGAAAAAGAAGATCACTGATATTAGTATTTTAATTACCGGATTTAGAGAAATTAAATTATTTTTGGTATCACCAAAAATAATAACCATGACAACTTTAAATTTATTTTGCATAACAATATCATTGATCATATAAGATGATATGATTAAAATTTTTACATTTTTGTGTAATTTTAAGTTATTTTATAAGATTCACCGAAAAGTTGCGAAAAAAATGTTATAAGCTTTACGATATGAAATATAGACGAAGTATTTTATTCCGTTATGCGATATTAGTTATTTGGTTAACATTTTATAAGTAGCGACTCGAAACCTTTGTTGAGTACTTATATAACCGCAATTCTCATATTCTGTTCTATTCTTCAGTTAACTACCCAACCCTCCGAATCATATAGCATAGTTAGTCTCACTACACTCCTGTAAATTTACCTTTCAGCCTCATTGAAATTCTCTTATCACTTAAAATACCCGACGTTTCTTTACATTTCATCTAATAGCCCTTAATCCTCTGTTTTAGAAACTTGCCAAAGTCTCCGTCCTTCTGTACAAAGGATCCAAAATATTTATAGTGTTCGACTTCACCTATCATATAATCACCTATTGTCATTGGTCTCCTAATCCCCTTAACTTCTCGGTATCTTCAGCCAAGTCGAAATCATACTCTATATACTCTTTTTTATATCTACTCATTCTCAATATATTTTCTTCAAGGACTAACCCATAATCATCCAACCTATAGTTAACTTCTTCCAAATTTTCTCCTTCCAAAACTATATCGTCAGAAAATATTATACTCCATTGTATCTCACCCTATATGTCTTTTGTAACTTCATCCGTTACCACAAAAAACAAAAAAGAGCTTAGAGCCCTTGATGAACACTTACTCCTACGTTAAAATCCCCTGTTACTTCATACGAACTTTTGGCACTAATCCTCGAGCCTTCATACATATACTGAATTAAATTTATATATATTTTTATGATCTATTTTATCATTAATGCCCACTTTAAAACTTATTATGGCACTCGGTCATACGCCATTATTGACTCTTTAATATCAATAAACAGTTTTTTTATTCTTTTCCCTATACTTTTCTACTAGTTTTCTAACACATACTGGCTCTATGTCGATTTTTTTTTGGTATAAAACCAAATAATTTTCTGATATCGATGTATTTTTATTCTCTTCTATATAATTAATTATTAATAACTCAGATAAATATCATTTTAAAAATTCTAAACACATTTAACTACATATAAAAATGTATGTCGTAGTTATATTTTTATTTAAAATTACTTTAGAAATAATGATTTGTATTTTTCATTATGTGAAGTGTACAAAATTGCAATAATTACAAAAATGTAAAATTGTTAAAAATTGCATTATTAAATTAAATAGGAAGACTGTAATTAATCTGGTTCGTAAACATATTTAATCAGATTTGATTTACCGTGTATCAATACAAATTTGCAATATCTATTAAATCCGGTCTTTACTCATAAGCAGAGGCCTGTTTCACCAATACACTTTGCAACTTTTCACTTTGCACTTTTCATTTGTTTTTTTGTTCCACCAAAAAGTGAAAATTAAAAATTAAAAATACAAACTGAAAAGTGAAATGTTTACCACTTTTCATTATGATTTCTATGTTTTCATTCCACAATTATATTTTTTGAAGAAAAGCTTTAAGACTTTTCATTAAACATTGATAAAAAATCCAGACAGAAATTTTACTCTATAAAAATTTGCAAAGTTATAATTTTTTTTTTTTTTAATAATTAAATTTATCAAGATTCACTTGAGTCTTTAGTAGTACTTAATCTTAACTAAGATTAAGTAGTATTGTCAATTATGTTCCGACCAGAATGGTTCATAAATGATGATATTTATGATGAAAGGCGATCTCAACGAGTATATAGAGATCGAGTATACTTCGAATTATGTAACCATCAGTACCGTCAATGTTTCAGACTAACAAAAAATCAAATAGCGTTTATTTTATGTAAAATTGGACCTATTCTAACTCATACGAGTAAACAGAATAAAGCAATCACCGCAGAACATCAACTATTGACGACATTGACTGACTCGGAAATGGTGCACAACACAACATACCATTATGGATTTTCTAAGGGATTTTTCTGAAAGATAAAATGTAAGCTATTCTCTCTGTTCTTGATCATTCTGACGTTTGACACTCAGTTCTATTTTCAGCGTTGGAATATCTTTGTTAACCTTACATCGATACCTTGGATGACGGACGAACTACGTGACAACGTAGGTTAGAATTAATTTTAATTTTAATTCTATCAAAAACTACTTTATAGGAGAAAGCTATAAAAACGTAAAAAAAAAAACTGGTCAAATAAGCAAAAATAATCAGAAAAACTGGATATAAGCTGAAAATTTGAAAAATTGTTGAAAAAATAAAAAAAAGCCCTTTCAAAATTCATAATTGTACATGTTATAACTTGACATACACTTCTATAGCACTCTGCTATATTTTTAGTCAATCCATAAAAATAATCAAAAGCTTTAACTCCCGAGCCCTGCTCATAAGTTTTATTTGTCTATAGTTCCCATATTCCTGTATGTCTCCTTTGCTATTAAATATTGATACAATAAAACTCATTCTCCAATCTTATGGCATTTTCTCCTCCTTTAGCACCTTATTAAAAAGATCTTTCAATCATTCAATGCTTACTTCCCCAACAATTTTCCACAATTCTACAGACATAAAAAACATCTGGTCCTATTGCTTTATTCATTTTCATCACCTTCAACGCAACCTTCGCTTCCTCCTCATTAACTAAACCATTCAATCTTTCATTCGATTTTCTTTTGGATACCTCTCGTTCAGTAATCTCTCAAATTATTCTTTCCATCTCAATGAGTCATAATTATTATTTATTATATTAGTGTAAAAATATTGTATATGATTGATAGTTTTAAACATTGGAAAATTATTATTTATCATCATATTGATATTTGACAGTGCGTAATAATTTGTGATAAGCCAAATAAAATATCATATTTGTAATACATCTTAGGTTTTCCAATAAATATATATTAATGTTTTTATAGTTAATGAAATAAAATATTTCATAATATTAAAGTTTTTTAGAATCAAGACTATTTAAAACAAAATTTTTTACATACCCATTAAAATGTATAGATGATGATCTCCGGTGTTTATTACCACTCGAGTTACGATTATACTTGTGTAGGCTACTATAAGTGCTCCTACATAACACATAAAAGACTTTTCGTATACATTTCGTAATTTCTTAATGAGGGCATATACGAGGAACATCACAATAAAAAAAAATAGAGATGTTGTTATCAAAATTAATACTATTACAGGAATGATTTCCAATGGTTCATCATAACATACAACTGGTGTTATGTTAACATTCTTATCGGGATATTGGTTTTTTTCTAAGCAAATTGTCCTGGTTGTGAATGAATATGCCAAGTACTGTTGAATACAAAACCGTTTTCGTTTATACTGAAAACTTTGTTAAGAAAATATATTTCCGAACAAATTTGTTCTTTGAAGATTGGATGAAATAGGGCCATCTCATATAATTCATTGATCTCGTTATGGTTTGTTTGTTTTGGTATCTTAAATAAAAAATGTTTATTGGTATATTGTTTATTGTTTTGACAATGATAACAATCAGATTACTATATAACCCTTCAACCCTCTCTCCATTATCGAAAAAATATTAATCGTTTTTTTCATTTTTGAATTATTCGTCATAATGCATAAAATAATGGTACATCACTTAAATGTGTTGTCGTCAGATTTGATGCATATTTAAATTAATCGTTGACGTTATAATAAATGACTATTAACATATAACTTATATATAATAATACAAACGAGGATATCAACCAATCATTGAATGAATTTTCCACCATCGCCAGGTAAATTTATTACAACGATTTATATATTATGGTAGTGTTAAAAAAACATTTATAATAAACATACTGTATTAATAATACATTTAAATATATATAAATATTCACAAATAATTGATGCATATATTTTATACATTTTTTCATCCCCCTTCCCTGCGCATAAACCTGTTAAACAATAATAATATTGCGATAACTTTAAAAGTTTCTTACGTCACAATTTTCAATATGTACTGTTATAGTTTATTAGTTAATTACTAATATCCTTGGAATATGTATATATATATTTTATTTATTTATGTGTTTATTATTATTATATAATAATAGTATCCCAATGAATTTACAAAAATAAATAAATAAAATACTGGGTAAGAATAATAAATAATTGTTACACAAAAAAATTGGTGCAAGACGATCGCACAATTTTTCCTTTTTTTACCCGACTAATTACACCACGATTGCTTAAAAAATTTGTAATATGATTGCGTCCCGATTCCTTATTACCTGATAAAACCACAACACAATGCACACCAAATTATGTGTAGATATGTACTATGTATAATAATTTATGTACAACATAAAATAATGTATACAATACATACATTCTATAATTTTTTTTTATAATAATAATATCGACTAATGACTATCAGTATAGAAAAAAAACAATTTTTAACCAAGCTAACGATGATAATTTGTTGACAGTTCTAAGTCTGTAATAATTGGGAAGAAAAATTTTGAATTAATAGGTAATAAGTTTGAGTGCATGGAATGAAAATTATATGTAGAAAGTATGTATTTTAGGTATACATTATTTTATGTTGTACATAAATTATTTTACATAGTATATACACATATTATTTGGTGCGCAATGGTGTTGTGATTTTATCAGGTAAAAAGGAATCGGGGCGCAATCTTGTTGCAAATTTTTTTCGCAATCGTGTTGCAGCCAAAAAATATCGCCTTTACTTGTATATTTTATTCGCGTACCATTACTGGAAATAAATAAATGTTTTTGCGACCGCGTGTATCGCGTTTAAGGCAATTGTCTTTGTGACCAAATTCCCGCGTCAAAGCGTCCACGTCTATTAGCCCCATGCCAATTGCCGTACACTATTGCAATGTCATTAATATTTTTCGATTAGAATATGAAATTTAATCGACGAAATTTAACGAAATATGTTTCTTTAGTTCTAATCGGGAAACAAAAACAGGTGCAATACATCAATTGAATCGATCGGTTTGCGTTATCAGAGATTGTTTCGAATGCGGTTCATACCGAAGATTTGTTGCCAGCTTCGTCCAAGAAGTGTGATGTGTTGCACCTGAAGTTCATCAATATCTCACCCGTTTGACAACATTCATCATGTTAAACAGTTCACTGTTGTTCGCCTTGGACGGCGTTGTTCTTGTAAAATTCTGTAGCTTGCTACTGGTCAGGAACAGGATCATCAATAACGGCGCGAAAACGCTTGCTGTAGTGCAATCACGTGTCATCTTGGGACAACCGAAGTGGTAATCCGTGGCCAGACGTGATGTTTTTGCTGTGAAAAATTCAGCGGGTAATAATTAACTAAGATTGGATAATAACGCGATCGGGAACGATTTCGGGTGTGCGTAATAACAATTTTCGCAGTACTCAAAACGGTTTCGACGCGGAAACCGAATCGGATAGAATCGCCCGGCGATGTGACGATTGGCTGTTAGCTATGCTAGTAAAGGCACTGCAGCGCAACGCGGATTTCATCTAAAAAATCTGTGGAGACCCAGCATAATTATTGTTACAGAACACGTCATAAATTTTTTATGTGTTTCCGCTATGCCAGATAATTTTATATAATAGATAAATGTATATAGAATATGTGCCGCTTACTATCATCAGAACGACTGCTGACCTCAGCAACCGATTGTTGAGCAATGACACACTCAAAATATAAAAAGATTATTTTCGAAAAATAGCAGTAGCATCTCGGCGACTGGCAAGATGAAATTCACAGTTATAATAAGTTTATTCTACATATCTGTGACATGTGATAATTGTTAATGCGCATGTTATCGACGCTTATCGTATGCTCAGATATTAGATATCAATATATAAATAATAGAGTAACTCTCTGATATAAATATAATGATCTAACAGACTGCTATTTGGTATAATATACATAAGGTGCTATTAAAATATCAAATTTAAAATTAATGAAAAGCATTATATAATATATTATCAGCTGTTATTACAAAGTAGCAATAGCTGATATTTATGTGTGGTGTGTCCCGTGACAAATTGGCTCCCCGAGGAATATGGACGTTGGATTAAGTAAAAGTACAGCGTAATCGTAAGTAAATTTTATTTTGTGTCACTGCAACCTGTATATGTATATTTATTTCTACTACAGTCTATGTTAAGTATGTAAGTACGCGCACATCATGTCTATCGATGTTTGAAAAAAAAAATTATTATATTACAAACAATATTAGTAAATTATAGTATACAAATGTTTAGTATTTATTAAATATTATTATTAGTAATATATTATTGTCATAGGCTGTGTGAACAATTACTATCACTTTTTTTTTTTATTTTAATTTTTTTTATCATTTATTTTTTTATCTCTCTCTCCCAATAATGCTTTTTTCTTATTTAGTTTTATAGTTATAGTTCTGTTATTTAGTTAAGATTTTACCGTATTTTACTTATCAAAGGGTAACTACCAGTTTACAATAAATCAATATTATTATGCTTTCACGTTGCGCACAACTGTATACCCATAAGTAGGGAAATAATAAAAGTGTATACGTATAGGATAGCGAGTCACGATGATTACGTCATCGGCTGACGTCATTCATGACACGGCCGCGTACTCCGTAACTACACAAGGTACGCATTACGCACACTCGTACTACAGAAATTGCAATTGCCGTTGGGGCGCTTTCAAGGGTGATACGGTCGGATTTTTAAAATTTTAAATATTTGTTTCTAGTCAATGCAGTTAAATGGAACTGAGATACATTTACGATTCATGACACACTGAATTCACAGAAAAAAAAAGTATATTTTAGAGGTTACGAAATATTCAATACGTTAGAGAATGTTTAAGTATTTTTATTTTTGTAAATTTTTTTTTCGAAGAAAATAATAATTTTACTACCTATCTATTATTTGTCTGCATATCCGTGCATGTATTACGAACATCGAAATTTTGATAATATTGATCAACAAATACAATATTCACTATGTGAAATGTTTTTATATCCTAGATTGTTATAAAAAATAAATACTAGATATTAGAGATGATCCAAGTACAGTTAAAATTGGCATTAAAACCAATTTTTTTCAAATATGTTATTATAAATCAAATTAATAATAACATTTAATAATTATATATTTAAACCAAGTAATTTTAATTTATTTTTTTTTTTACAGAAAATTGAAAGAATATTTGTATTTTTAAACAACATTAAAATATCAAATTTTGAGGATTTTTAAGAAAATATAAAAGCCGACCTCTAGTGATAGTGCCGATTATGTATGATGCCGCCAGGCTCGTATTTAGGGCGGAATAGGCACATTTCCGGGGTCAAGTGTCAGAGGCGACAAAATATTTTAGCAAAATTAATTTTAAAAATTATTGAAAAAAAAATAAAACAATAAGAAAAAGAAAATAGCATGTTTTATTATGTTATAATTTGTAAATTAAAAACAAAATTGTATTTTTATTATATTATAATTTGTTAATTAAAAAAAGTATTAAACGATTTTCATTTATAAGTTATATTTTAATATTAAAGAATTTCGAATATGGACAAAATAATAAGTGTTATATTATTATTATTTTTGGGGGGGGGGCGTAAATTATATGCTTGGAGGCGCCAAATTTTTAAATACAGGCCAGGATGCCGAGCGTGCTATTATAACATTACCTGTTATGACATTACCTATTACTATATACTACCTGAATAATAAATTAATTTATATTGGAAGTAAGAAGACGACGAGATGGAAGACAAGCAGAGAGTTTTTAAAGGTAGGGTCTTACAGTTTCAAAAAAGTATCAAAATTTAAATATCTGGGTACAATGATCACCCTATTAAACAATATGGAGTATGAGATACTTAAAGGGATTCAAATGGGCAACAAATATTATTACTCATTGGGCAACTTAATATAAAATAAAAAAATTAAAATAAAAATAAATCTTCACTTTCAAGATTTTATGGATTTTTTAAGGAATTTTTCCGAAAAATAAAATATAAACTGTTCTCTCTATTCTTGATCATTCTGACGTTTGATACTCAGTTCTATTTTAAGCGTTGGGATATCTTTGTTAATCTTAAAACGATGCCTTGGACGACGACAACCTACGTGACAACGTAAATAAGATAAGAATTAATTTCAATTCGATCAAAAACGACTTTGCAGGAGAAAACTATAAAAACGTAAAAAATTGGTCAAATAAGCAAAAATAATCAGAAAAACTGGTAATAGAAAATTAATTATAACCTAACCATTTTTTTAAAAAATTGCTGAAAAAAGCAAAAAAAAAAAAAGCACTTTCAAATTTCATATTTGTACGTGTTATAACTTGACATATACTTCTATAGCGCTCTGCTACATTTTAAGTCAATCCATAAAAATAAGCAAATGTTTTAACTCCCAAGCCCTGGTTATAATCAATATAGAACTTAAGATAATAGATAAATAACACAAATATAAATTAAAATGTACAATATGCTTATACATTAATGTAATAAATTACGCATATCTTTATTTTTTCTAATAAAATAATAATTATTGTTATTAATAAGAATTATTGCTTATTTAACAACGTTAGTATTTATTACCTATTTTTGTTGGCTTAAATACGTTACTGTTTAATAATTTATTTTTATTTTGCACTAAATTTAAGCTACTATTATGTTAGATTTCCGCAATTATTATTTAAATTAATATATCTAAGAAATTCGTTAAAATTCTAAACAATAATACTAATGATGTAAAAATCCCTTTTAAAACTAACAATAATTTAATCAAACATATAAATAATAGAAATAAAAATTCACAAAAATCCTCCTCCTATTGAAAATACTGGTATGTATAAACTTAAATGTAACTGTAATAAATTTTATATAGACAAAACAAATAGGAATTTTAAAATAAGATATAAAAACTAAGACCTTTATAGGACCTTAATTATTAAAGATATAATAATTAAAATACCGAAAATCAATTTCTATACAAGCATAAATACATCTCTTCTCTACTAGAATGATGATTGATATTTTAACTCTAAAACCACTCAACAAGTCATATTATTAAAAATACGAAAATTATTCATACTATATACCATCTTTTTCTGCTTTTTATGCACCTAAAAAAAATAATTTATACTACACGCATGCCTATAGGGCTATATATACATTTACATATAACCAGCCCAAGGATACTATGTTTTATTTATGATGCCCATTTTTTTTTCCAAGTTAATAAAATAAAATGTATGTACTAAAAACCTATAATAAAACGGTTGGATATTAAACGTAAGAAATAATTCTCTACATATCAAATTAATATTTTTATCTTGTCAATAAATAAAATATGAAATATAAATACGTATACACAATATATTGGTCAGCTCACTAAGACCTATGGCTGTGATTTTAATAAAAACACAACAGCTAATTTAATTTGTTTTTAAGTTTAAAAATAAAACTATTTTTTAGTGGAAAATATATGATTTTAACTTTTTAACTGTAATATTCTTTATTGTCTTTGTTCATTTAGAAAGCCAGCTGACGCCGTTGCTGCATATGTAAATGTGTATATAATGTGGAGATACATGACGTCATATCATTCGAGCCTACCGTCATCATGTCTCCGTAACGTAAAACATATAAATGACTCCGCATTAGCCATGTTCCTAAATAAACAGTATAGCTGGTACTTGGTTAGTAAATAGGTTAGTGTATTATATAGGGGTGTGGTGTCAACATCATCATCATATGACCCCACAACTCGGTAAGAGGTCTAAGCGCTGCCACCAACATAGTCAATGTCCTTCAATTTTTTCGGTCCTGGATCCTTTACTACCAGACCGTTACTATTCCATTCTCTTTATAGCCGATAGGTCTGGACGCATTAATCCAACCATACATAATATTTTGAACTTCCTCCGGGTTTCCTTCTTTTTAATTGTCATTCAATAACCACCCTAACGTTATTACCTCTTTATGTGTACAAAAAAATGAAGTCTTTGCATGGTCGCCCATCACGGTGTCTAATAATAGAGCTCATCATTGTCTTTTCTCTCATGGACTGGTCCAATAAAGCTTATGTTTAAAACCAGGACCGGACCGAAATGAACATCACCCGAGATCATCACATCGCAATCACAAATTATACTTTTCATTAAGATTACTATAGTATTATCGTATCAATACATAATATGTATTTATGCAAACAGCGTAAGTAATATATTATAAGCTAGTCTTGAAATCGTATATTGCATATAAATGCAAATTTCGAGTCTGTTTTGTTTTTAAAATATAT